TGTGTCCCCCACCTCTTTTGAAAACTTTCTTAGAACATTTTTTAAGTTTTTGTTTTTAAAAATTTCTGTTGGTTTTTATTTATTTATTTTTATCTCTTCCCCCACCTCTTGCTGTTTTCTTTCCCTTTGTTCCAATCCCAAATTTTATGTTCCCTGTTTTGGCTGAGACCCACCACTCTCCTAGGTCTTGGTCTTCCTCTTCCCCATGCTGGGTCCTCCACTCACTGCAGCCTATGGGTGCTCTTGCCCACAGATCATTCAGTTGACTCCAGTGCCTGTGAGCACACCCGGCGGCCTGGTGCCGCCCCTCAGCCCAGCCACGATCCCTGGTCCCACTTCCCAGCCTCAGAAGGTCCTGCTGCCCTCCTCCACCAGGTAATGGCAGTTGAGCCCTCACCTGGAGGCAAGCCCAGGGAAGGGGGTGGGTGGGGCCAGATCGCTTCACTCTTCCCCTATTTTTTTTAAATATGTTTTTATTTAGAGAAAGAAGGGAGAGGGATAGAGAGATAGAAACATGGATTGGCTGCCTCCTGCACAACTCCCTACTGGGGATTGAGCCTGCAACTCAGGCATGTGCCCTGACTGGGAATTGAATCAGTGACCTCCTGGTTCATGAGTCGGTGCTCAACCACTGAACCACACCAGCCAGGCTCTTCCCCCATTTTTACTCTTTCCTTTCTTTCCTCTCCTTGCGGCAGAATCACCTATGTGCAGTCAGCAGGCGGGCACACGCTGCCTCTGGTCACCAGCTCAGCATCCAGCCAGGCTGGAACAGTCACCTCATATGGGCCCACGAGCTCCGTAGCCCTAGGCTTCACCTCGCTGGGGCCCAGTGGCCCTGCCTTCGTACAGCCCCTGCTTTCAGGTGAGGGATGACCTGGCCGGCAGTGCTGGGAATCCATGGTGGGTCTGAGGCAGTTCAGGCCTAACTCGGGCCCCTGCCTCTCCTCTGTTTCCCTCTCTGTAGGCCAGGCACCGCTGCTGGCTCCTGGCCAGGTGGGCGTGTCACCTGTGCCCAGCCCCCAGCTGCCTCCAACCTGTGCAGCCCCCGGAGCTCCCCTCATCACGGCATTTTACCCTGGCAGCCCCGTACCCACCTCTTCAGCACCTCTGGCCCAGCCATCCCAGGCCCCTGCAGGCCTGGTCTACACTGTGGCCACCAGCACCACCCCCCCTACTGCTACAATCCTGCCCAAGGGCCCATCGGCCCCTCCCACTGCCACTGCCACTGCCACCCCAGCCCCTACCAGCCCTTTTCCTAGTGCCACAGGTGGGTGTTGGGCCAACCCAGGGTGGGGTGAGTTGGATCCAGGGAATGGGCTCCAGTCAGGCCTAGCTCAGCAAATGCTCTTCTCCCCATCAGCAGGCTCCATGACTTACAGCTTAGTGGCCCCCAAGGCCCAGAGGCCCACCCCCAAGGCCCCCCAGAAAGTGAAGGCAGCCATCGCCAGCATTCCTGTGGGCTCCTTTGAGGCGGGTGCCCCTGGGCGGCCTGGCCCTGCACCCCGGCAGCCCTTGGAGCCTGGCTCAGCTCGTGAGCCTGCTGCCCCTGAGTCCGAGCTTGAGGGGCAGCCTACAACGCCGGTCCCTCCACCTACCCCAGAGACCTGGGCTCCCACTCCCCGGAGTAGCCCCCCACCACCCCTGCCTGCTGAGGAGCGGACCAGCACCAAGGGCCCTGAGACTATGGTGAGTGTCCAGCAGTCCTGGGGGCTCCTACTGCTGCTGGGTTCTGTCCCTTGGCCACTATCTGCTCCCCGACCCACCCCTCTTCCCTGCATATGTCTGAGACATGCCCTTGTCCCTCGTGCTTGACTGTCCCTGGGCTTTCTCCAAGATTGTCTCGGGCAATCAGCACCTGTCTCTTTGTGTTTCTGGGTTTTACCCCAGCAAGTCAGAACTCGTGTCCTTCATCTCTCTGCCATCCCCACCCCAGGCCAGCAAATTCCCCAGCTCATCTTCAGACTGGCGCGTCCCTGGGCTGGGCCTGGATAGTCGTGGGGAGCCTCCCACCCCTTCTAGCCCGGCCCCAGCTCCAGCCCCAGCCCCTGCTAGCAGCAGCAGTAGTAGCAGCAGCAGCAGCAGCAGCAGCGAGGGCAGTAGTGGCAAAGCAGCTGGGGACAACCCCGAGCGTAAGGAGGCAGCTGGTACCAGCAAGAAGGTGAAAGTGCGGCCCCCGCCTCTGAAGAAGACCTTTGACTCTGTGGACAAGTGAGCATGGGCTGGGGGCTCTGGTGGAGCTGTGGGGTTGGTGGGAGAGTGAGCAGCTACAGGCCGAGCAGGGGAGGTGACCCTGCCCACTCTCCAGCAGGGTCCTGTCAGAAGTAGACTTCGAAGAACGCTTTGCTGAGCTGCCCGAGTTTCGGCCTGAAGAGGTATTGCCCTCTCCCACCCTGCAGTCTCTGGCCACCTCGCCCCGGGCCATCCTGGGCTCCTATCGTAAGAAAAGGAAGAACTCCACTGGTAGGCAAGGGGGACTTCCGGGGTTGGTGGGGGATAGACTGGGGCCACCTCCCTGAGCCTGCTTCTTTTGACCAGACCTGGACTCCGCCCCCGAGGACCCCACCTCACCCAAACGCAAGATGAGGAGACGCTCCAGCTGTAGCTCAGAGCCTAATACCCCCAAGAGTGCTAAGTGCGAGGGAGACATCTTCACCTTTGACCGCACAGGTGCTGATGCCATGGCCAGTGAAGCAGTGAGGGACCCAGGGCCTGCCAAAGGGGTGGGGTCTCATGAACTGGGTTAGAAATGGGAGAGGTGGAGTGGGTGTCACTGAGGTTAAGGGTGGGTTCCAGAGTCCAGCAGGCCCCTAAACTGCCATGTGACCTTGGGCATGTCCCCTCTCTGAACTCTGCTGTGAAATAGAGTTCAGTGAAGGCTAGCTGGACACTTAGACAATGGTGTGAAGGTGGCATGGCCAGGCTTCTGCAGTGGCCTTGATCATTCTCCCTGCCTTTGTCCCAGGTACAGAAGCTGAGGATGTGCTTGGGGAGCTGGAATATGAGAAAGTGCCATACTCGTCACTGCGGCGCACCCTGGACCAGCGCCGGGCCTTGGTCATGCAGCTCTTCCAGGACCATGGCTTCTTCCCATCAGGTGAGCATGTCTTAGAGTCTTGAGGAGCATTTGGAGGGGATCTGCCTGCTCATCTCATCCCCTCAATCCTTCCGTCCCTAGCCCAGGCCACAGCAGCCTTCCAGGCCCGCTACGCAGACATCTTCCCCTCCAAGGTCTGTCTGCAGTTGAAGATCCGTGAGGTGCGCCAGAAAATCATGCAGGCAGCCACTCCCACGGAGCAGCCTCCCGGAGCTGAGTCCCCCCTCCCTGGACCGCCCCCGACTGGCACCGCTGCTGCCTCTGTTCCCACTCCCAGCCCTGCTGGAGGCCCTGATCCCACCTCACCCTGCTCGGACTCTGGCACAGCCCAGGCTGCCCCACCACTGCCTCCACCCCCAGAGCCGGGGCCCGGACAGCCTGCTTGGGAGGGGGCCCCTCAACCCTCCCCCCCACCTCCTGGTCCCTCCACAGCTGCCACAGGCAGGTGAGGGGGCCCCTGAGAAGATCCCAGGACCCATAGTACCCCCCCTCAGGACATGGACAATATGTAGGTGGCAGGAATGGGGAGGGGGAGGGAGCCAAGATGGTTACTTCCTCCCCAATAAAGCCATTTCGTCCTTTCAATTTTGGGGCGGAATGAGGCCTGCCCCTCTGTGTATCCCCATGCCCCACAGCTCCCTCCCAGTGATGGGGGTAGCCAAGGGGAAGCAGGGGCACAGTCTCCCTCCACCGAGCCCCTGTACATAATAACCTGGAGTGTGTGACCTTCAGATCTTTTCACTTGTACTTTATGCAAAATGGCTCGTGAGGGCTGCAATCAGAGAGAAGTGAGGGCCTTGGGCCACAGGGAGGCGCCTGTGGAGTAAGGGGTTCACGCACCCCTTTTTTCCCCAGAGGGGCTGGACTCAGGTTAGTTTGGGGGTAGGGGCTCCTGCACTTTGCCACAGGCATGGGGAGGGTTCTCTCCCCACCTCTCTGCCCTCCCAACTTGGGTTGTACTTTCTAAGAAGGTGATTCCCCCTACTCTTGTCCCCAACCCCAGAACAAAACATGTTGATCATGTGCAATATTTCTTACTGTGCCGAAAAGCCACAATGACCGCAATTAAAGCTGTTTAACACACCTGTGTGACTGCCCATTTGAAAGGGCGGGATGTTGGTTGTACCAGTCTTGTCGCCAGATGGCCATGGACCTATATACTTTCCCCCCAGTGAGATGAGGATAGCAATGCCAGGATACTCCCTCTCAACATCAGAAGGACCCCATGACCTAAGGTCCCTGACCACTGAAGGCTGGGTGGCTCCCTTCTAAGTCTGGGGCTCAGAGACTTGTGACATCTCTGCCTCTCTCAGGCATCCCATATGAATGGGCTTGTGGAAGGCCTAGATGTGCAAGGGCAGTTGACCCTCTAAGCTCCAGCTGGACCTGAGGTCTGAGCTCAGAGGTGACACTGTCCCAAATACTGTGCTGTCCTCAGTAGCCTCTGTTGCCCCCACGTGGTCTAAGCCAGCACTGCAGCCAGGAGTCTCCTGGATTTGTGGATAGTACCCAGCTGAGAAATGCCTATACCCTGTGTGGAGAGATGACTGCTGGGAGTGGGAGGATCAGGAAGCTTCCAGAGCACCAGCCAGGAGAATAGCATGTGCAAAGATTGGAGCACTGTGTTAGGCCACTATGTTCCCAGAATTCTTTCTTGACCCTGATCCTTTAGGGTAGTATTAGCAAACTGGTTTCACCTAGTGTTACTGATTGGTAAGTGCCTGCCTGGAGCACTATTGTACAGTATAAATCTGCCATACTCTCCAAGAACCAGAATGCCTTGATAGATGGACGAGGCCTTCTTTGGGCAGAAACAACACCCTGCAGAGCTGCAGGGTCACAGAGATCAGGGCTGAGGCTGAGGTATTCAGATGGGCTTGGCCATAAAACAGAAAATGGGAGGGAGACTGAAGAATAAGAATTTAATGTTGCAGGAAAGCAGATGTTAGAGTGTGGGCTCTGGCAGAGGGCCACCCTGACCCTGGTCTTGGGCCAGCAGGCGGAGAAGCAGGGAATGGAGGGCTCGGCAGACAGGTGTATAGCCTAGGCGGCTCAGGTGCAGGTAATCATACATGTCATGGTGGCTGATGGTACCATCTGAGTGCACGAAGCCAGGGTCAGCATCCAGGAAATGGGCCCGTGGGTAGCCAGCCAATGCTGCCCGTACCAGCTCGTTCACCCGCCGGTTTTTCTCACGAAGTGGGTTAGGGTGCTGGCCCCTCGGAAGCAGGCCCTGAGGAGAGCACCAAGAATTGTGAGAAGATATCCTATCAAAATCTGGGTCCTACTAGCATCTCTGTGCCAAACTGTTCTCCAACCCCCACTATGAAGTCCCCAGCTGCAGAATACACGAAGGATGGGAAACGGGAATGAGAAAGGTACTTCCTGATGCCTGGTCTGAGACCCCATTCAGCAACAACAGCCTTACAAAAATGTTGACAAAATGGCAAGGGGTTAACCCCTCTTTCAGAGGAGGAAATGCCCCACCTTGGAAATGCCTGACAACTTCTGGCTATTTAAATACTTTGAGTTTTAACACCCCAAAATCTCTAGTGCTCCCCTGGGCAAAAGGGCCTAATTGGTCATTGAACATGTCCTTATTCACAGCTGCTCTGATGGATATAGCAAGCGTCAATGTGAAATTTTGCCCGAAAGCCATTGCTCTGTGCCAAGCTACCCAGAACCATGCCCACTGTGGCTACACCTGAGGGGGTCCCAGAACACTGCCATCCATTCTCCCCGCCTTCCCACTCTCACCAGCACCACGACCCGGGCCTGGGGCTGCCGCTGATTCACCAGTTGCACGATGGCCTTGATGCCGCCAGCCACCTGCTCTGCTGTGTGCCCATGGTTGTTCGTACCCACCCAGACCACCACAATCTGGAAAGAGAGTCATGAAGCAGTGGTGAGGGGGCAGGCTAAGAAGGCTTTCGCTGCCCAC